TGAATAGCAAATACATTCCCGCCTATTACGGCCTCATTCAGAAAACCGACAGGCAGAACAAGACTGAAGACTCCCATTAGTGCACTCCACTCTTTAATTTTTCTCTCGATTGAACAGCCGCCGCACTCCCCAGCCCGTCGTTCCTCTCTGCGCCGCTCTCTCCTCCCACGCTGCTCCTGCAGGGAGGAGGACGGAGGGGGAGAGGGGGGGGGGCGCGCGCGCGCGTCTTCAGACTATAAATAGCAAGCAAGGATTGGGGTTAACGGAGGGGGTGGAGGAGGCGGCGAGTTTGGGGTGTTTGAATTGACGTCACGGTGCAGAACAGTTCTCATGATAACAGCTTCAAGTCATTCTTATCGCTCTCCTCTTTCGCTCTTTCTTTATGCAAGTCTGAAAAGCATGATTACTGTCAGACCGCCGAGTCACCCTCAGGGTTTCAGGCCTCGTACGTTCAGTTACCCAGCATACTTACTTAAATGGCTCTTTTTTTAATGCCTCGTTTTCAGCAGAGGTGGTAAATTCAACATAATCAGTCAGATCTCGATGTATCTCGTGACATGTTATAAAATGCATATGTGGCTTTGCTGCGTAGCAGGTGTGGTTATTGTGGCGTTGAGCTGCAGGCAGGTGTGATGGGTTAACCCAACAGGACTGTTGGGTTTAGCCGGGCGGTGCACCACTTCAGTTTCGCTCACGGGACTGAGCAGGAAACCTGTTTGACCCAGCTTTCCTGTCTTTCTCCACTGTCCTTTCACAATAAAGGCTCAAGTTTCACTGTGTTTGGGAAATCCTTACCTGTCCTGTTTGTTTCTATAAGGTTTGAGTCAGAATGAGGGGAAAAAAGCATCATCTGGGGAATGTCAACCTGAAATGGGATGAACATTTTCCCCATCTGTGATTTGGACAGATGTGATTTAAACCATCTGAAGGAAAAATATTATATGCATTATATTCCAGAAGCTGTAAAAGAATTAAACCCCTCCTCCAAACCTGCTGTCAGAGACTTCGAGCATCCATTGTTTTGTCTTCTTGAGCTGCACTGCTGAGCGTCACAGCGCCCAGAGATGAACTGTAAACCATCTGAAGGATGTAGCTCCATAGGCTCAAGGAGTTTTCTAGATGATGGACATTTAAAATCAATAAACTGATCCCAAAATAAAGAAAAAAATCTAAAATCAACCAAAGTTCATCACTTAGTTGTTTTTATTTGTTTGATAAAACGAATGAAAGTAGAGTCTAAGGAGCTTGGAAAGAAAAGCGTCTGAACTTCTTTAAGTTTCTTGAAGACGTTTCATCTGAGAAGCTTCATCAGTTTTAAGAGTAGGTGGAGAGTCCCAGATTCAAGCCCTGTGGTAGTGTCCCTAAGAGGGTTGTGGACCCTCTATTGATCCTCTACCTAATCACACAAGCCAAGGTATGAAAACGGGTGTGGGTCACAATCAGCCAGAGTTTCGGGTGAGCTCATTGTGAAACCTGGCCCCACCCTATCATGTGATTTCCTGAGGTCAGATGGCCCAGGATGTGAGTGGCGTCTGGGAAGGATCTCAGAACTGGATTATAGATGGCAGAGAGTTGGTGTCGTAAACCACCGCCTCTTTTCAAAGATGGTCGCTCACAGTGGGCATGGATGGATTCTGTCACTCCTCTTTCAAATCATCTGTCCTCTCTGTCCAAAATGTGAACATTGGCATCCTCAAAAGAGTGACCTTTGACCTTTAGATGAGGGTGGACAGCCAAGTCTTGTCCCGTGGAGGTGGCTCTTCTATGTTGTGCCATGCATTTATGAAGTTGCTGTTTGGTCTCTCCAATGTAGAGGTCTGAGGATTCCTCACTACACTGTGCAGCATACACCACATTAAGTTTGTGTTTGGGATGAAGCAGTTTGTGTCTGAGTGTGTGGGTGGTACACTGGGATGTCGTGCTTGGAGAAGACTCCCCTGAGTTTCTCTGATAAACCTGCTACACAATCAGAACAATATTGTCATCCCTTATCAGAAACTTCTGAATCTGATGAGGGATGACAATATTGTTCTGATTGTCCTTCTGATTTTCCAACTAGGGAGAATCAATAGGGGTCCATGACCCTCTTGCAGACACTCCCATAGGGCTTAAAACCAGTCGTTCTTAGAACTGAAGAAGCTTCTCTGATGAAACGTCTTCAAGAAACTTAAAGAAGTCCAGATGCTTTTCTTTCCAAACTTCTTAGACTACGTTGACCTGGATGACCGAGCACCTTCACAGACGTAGAGACCTGAAACTTCCCGTTGAAGTGCATCTTTGCTCCGGGAATTTTTAGAGAAATCTGTGATGGTCAGGTGGCGCGATAAGGTCGCGTAACAACAGAATACGGGTCACTCAGCAGGGCTGGAAACGATCCCTCCATCTTTATTCGTCTTGCTCTCACGCAGGGCAGCGGCGTGGCCTCTGACAGCTCTCGTCTGTTGTCACATAATCAATCCACACCTACAATACGAGCCTGTAAATGGACTGCATACATAACGATCTCCTTTGGACTTATCGACCGCTCAAAGCGCCTTACAGAACAAGCCACATCCTCTCGTTCACACAGCGCCGTTTTATTTATCGATCCGTGTCGATGGGCATGAATTTTCCAATTATGGAAAACTCCCACTTGATGACACTCGTAGCAGAGCCATCTTGAATCATATGAACAGATAAACGTGCCTCACAGCAATCAGAGTGTTGGTGTAAATAAGCGGCCGCTGTTGTGCTTCATACAGGGAGGATATGAAGTAACGACCATAAAAACAGCAGTTGGCGCTCTGAGCAGCCTTCTAAATGAACCTGATACCTGAGCAGACACAAGCATGAGCTGATGAAGACGAGCCAGCGCTCTAAAGATAAAGCAGAGATGGGAATCTTCAAGTGGCCGTCAGAGGAACGGCATCTCTCCACACTCTCGTCAGCACTGGAAGCTTTATTGTCTGGGAATTAATGTTCACGTCTCTTTCTACCAGCTCTGCACGCTCTGAGCTGTGAGCCGCTGGGCGAATAAGCCGTCCTCCCCGCGTGTTTGTATGTATGCACATATATGCGATAGATGAGTTTACCTCGCTCCCACTGAGGTGATTAAATCTGCCGTTATCGATCGTTACCGCTCCTCTTCCTCACCTTCACGCACACCCACGCGATGCTTCTTTAAATCTGTGACCGAGTGTGTGCGAGCCTCTACGACTCGGTTCATCTTCGAGCACATACGTGTTCATGGCCTGTGTTAGTCAGATTTTCAGTGTTCCTGCATTTTTGTGTTTATGCGACTGATCCTCCTCTGCACGATCTAATTATAATCTGTCTGTGTTACTCTGCAAGCAGCACATCTTTCACTTACACAGCTGGGCTGTGATCCTGACATGAAGGCTGATGATGATTATTGTTGCTCATCACTGAACCACGATGAGATTTAATTTGCAGACTCTCAGCCTGACATCCACTGACTAAAGTCAGTGATGAACTTTTTATTTTTCTTCTTGTTACTCTTATTTGTTTTTGTTGTGTTGTTGTTCTTCATTGTTACGCAATAAAAATGTTGAACTGACTCTGAATCTGTGGCTCAGAGCAATGCAGCATTATTATTATCCTTTAAATAATTCAAAGCAGCCAAACAGCAGAGAGGGAGATCTGACAACAGCAAAC